TCTTGGGAATGGGTGTGACTCTTGGGAATGAGTGCAGGGCTAAGGGTTGGACTCAATGATACTTGAGGGTCCTTTCCAACTCAGCATATTCTGTGATTCTGTGAAAGCTGTTCCTACAGAAGAAGATGGTGGTCTAGTGGGGCTGATGAAGTCACCCAACCCAACACACAGCAGGCAGGCCATCAGCATGCTGTGGAAAACCTCAGCAGGTCCCAGTGGGCATAATTAAATATCTCTGTATCTTAAAAAATCTTCTCCCTGATGCCATTTACTTTCTGTCAGGAAGCAACCTAGGCCAGCAATTCCTCTGGGGTCAGGACCACATGGGTTCCCCTGGAGAGGCAGGGCAGAGACTGGCAGCAGGGCCCGTCTCTCCATTCCAGTCAGAAATGGAGCAGGGGGTGCACCATGGAGGCCCCAGTCCCTGGCACCAGGCACTTCCTGGGGATGGGCTGAGGCCAAACTAGGACACAGGCCCAGGGGTGGGCCCAGCTCAGTGGGACCCATGGCTGGGCAAGAGAGCTGGAGACCAGCCCTGCCATGACATCGGTGGGGCAGGGATCAACCAGCCCAGGAGGTTGACATGGGGTCCTGGGCCGTGGGCGGTATTGGGGGAACCTCAGGGTGCTGGGCAGGGACAGTCAGGGCTATAGGCACCTCAGGGCCCCAACACCTGCACACACTGGCCAGTTCAAAGGCAGGCAGGCTTTATATGGCTGCTGCTATGTGCCATGTGTTAGTCCACTCACTGCTACGAAGCCCAGAGCTCACCTGAGCTCCTCCAGGTGAAGCCTCACCCACATGACTCCCGTGTACACCTTGTCTCCACATGAGCTTGAGTTTCACCATTGATGCTTATTTGCAAAACAGGTGCCACCAAATCCAGCTCATGCATGCAACCTAAACATCATTTGGGTTTGAGGGTGACCATCTCATCTCTAGACACTGATTTAAATACCCTTGAAAGGAAACACAGCTTTCCTATTTGGAGACAAGTTAGTCCCTGCACTTCTCACAAGTAACAAAACACTGACCATATCGAATGTCAAACGGACCCATGACTCTCTTAATGAAAACACCTTGCCCCACAAGCAAAGTTGCCTGGGGGCCTGAGTTCCCCAGAGCAGTCAGCCACTGCATAATGGTTTGCAGCTGCTTACAGTGATTGCTATGGGTGGTGTAACACCTGTGTGGGCACACTGCATGGTGAACTCGGCATCTCAAAGTGAATTAAATATTGTCTTCGGACAAAATAAACACCCCAGAAACATAAACAAAGATGTTTATTGCAAATAAAAAATCATATTAACATAATTAAGCCTTATGAAGTATAAAGAGGTCATTTTGAAAATTGTGAAGCATCCACATATGCAAGGGCTGCTGTTTTCATCAGAACAGCTGCCTGGATCATGCATATAATTATCTGAATGTGACAAGCCAAATATCCTTCTATCTAGAACTGTTTCTATTTGGCTGGTGATGTCATTCTGACACTTCCACAGTTTCATTTTCTCTGGATCTGGCAGTAGAGGCTCATAGAAAACACCAAACCAAGAATCTGGAAAACAAAGACATTTCTGGTATTACTTGGCTGTTCTGGAAATCCCAGGATACAACTGATACACAGCAGGAATATTTTGTTTGCAAATATCTTGGATTTACATGTAGGCTAAATCTGTTATGCAGAAGATGATCTTTTCCAATGTAACTCTTAAAGAACATGACTACAGAATAGAACCACTTTAATGAAGGCAGTATGTACCATAGGTAAGACTGCAGACATGGTGGAGAAGTTTCATTTGTTTAAAAAATAGATTGCCTCTGTGGTTGGGAAATCCTGTAGTTCTGGGTGTTTAAAATGCAGTCGGTAGCTGTAAAAGAGCAGCAATTACTAAGAAGTTCAAGAAATTCAGACAAAAATTCAGTATTTTCTTTTCTAATAAAGTTAGAGGAATTTTCACTGGGTATTCTAAGGGTCATTTCCTGTCGCTGTTAAAGTTGGGGACAGCCAATGCGACACAGAATCTTCTTCCAAAGCAGGGACAGGATTACAAGAAGGCTGTAATCACTTTATTGTAACAGGTTGCAAATATTTATACTTTTCACATATCACACATGTCAACCTGCTATTGGTACTTTCATGTATACACACACCAGGATTGGTTGCAAAATAGTAAACACAGCTTTTGTTGAGTCATCCTGACTTGCAGAAAGTACAGGAAGTCCATTTCTGTCTTCCATCTTCTTCCTATCTGAAAGTTGCCCACATTCTTTTGCATGCTGTGTTCTCCTCCTTTCAGGGATATACTGTAATCTGGTTTATGTCCACTGCTTTGTCGATAAATGCCAGGTTGTTGACAGACTTGATGTCAACCCCGACAATTTCCCTTTGAAATCTTTCTTCTTTTCCACTGTCACTCTCTTTTTTGTAAATATATGTGCAAAGTGTTATGGATACAGGTATACATATGTGTGTGCCTACTGTATACAGGTACACATTTATACACATACCCCACCATTTTGAGTTGCAAATGATCATGGAACCAACATTTTATATTCATCAGTAATAGATTTGGGATAGAAACACTGATTCCACTGAAGAAGGTGTTACTTAGAATAGAAAATTCAGCAGGGTCACCTCCTGTGGTGGGAATTACTGGGTGAAATTCCACAACCTGTGACAGACAGCTGGTGAGATCAGAAGATCAGAAAGTTTCCTTCCAGATTTAGAATTAACCAGTCTGTGAAGGTGTTCCACAAAAGTGGAAAGCATCCAATTGACATTTATGAAGACATGAACACCAGCATACTTAATTTACTTAAGGAAGAGGTAGAGAAGAGGATATGTAACACAGGGGTGCAGCTAAGACAAGGGGATGGACTCACAGCTGGAATAAACTGACAGGGCATGCTCGTATTTTCACTTGCGCCCAGGTGAAACTGGGCCCTTCTTTTCAGTATCATTTCCACTAATAGGGTGAGCTGAAACCAGTAACAGCCCACAAGTGGCATAATGGAGCAGGTAGAGAGGGGAAGGGCCCTTCTTTTTATCTGGGGTTTTCCAGAGAAGAGAGGTTGTTATGCATGTGGCCTTTGATTTGCAATTGCTTGAGAAGACATAATAAGTTAATATCTTTGGAAAGGCTAAATGTTTATCAAGTATAAATTGCCAGCTGACAATTTGTACCAGCTGAGGCTCATATTGTTTATTCAAGTTGTTTTCTAATCCTTTTATGATTGGGAGAGGCAGCCACCACAGAAAACGCCAACTGGAGAACAAGAAAGAATGATGGCCAATGAACTAAAGGCTACAACTCACATAACTGCAGTAACTAGAGCAAAGTGACTTATAACTTGCCTTAGGGATACAGGTGTAATTTTACACTTTTATTATATTTTTAAGGCCTTTTAACATTGGTGTATTTCACCTATTTTTCCCCCAAAGCCAGTATATGACTGAGAGATCTGACCTGCCACATATAGCTTTTTAGATGCCATGAAGTCTGTGCCAAGTAAGAAGTTGGTGGCCTGTCTGCTCCCAGTCCTGCAGCTACGTAACTCTTCCCTGCTTACTATTATTTTCCTGGAAGTGTATTTTTGAGTTGGGGCTCTTGCCCACTCTTCTACCACAAGGAGCAATCCTCTGCCAATAATGTTAAGAAGTTTTTACTTAGAATAACAGAATGAACACTGCACAGCAATCTTTGTCATTTGTGCTTTTCTCTCAAACATCCACTGATGGGGAGTGGGGGAGGAGGGAAACCAAGGAGGAAGAGTGAAAAGAGAAAAAATGACCAAAGAAAGCAACATGATGAAATCCCATTTCTTTGTTATTTTCTCCTAATCAAATCCAAATCAAGTAGCTGACTGGATAACCTCACCTATTTTCCTCCCCTCTTCAGAGAAAATTGTGCATGTTATTCTTCAGTGTATGATGAGGCAATTAAAATAAACACTTCACATACTCTGAATTTTTTTATACACATGCATGGAGTGTCACAAGTGTGCACTCAGACACATTCATGCACCATCTCGATGGCTAAAGTATGCCTCAGAATTATAATTTAGCTCTACAATTTCTCCATGATACAAATATGTAGTTTAGGGGCTAAGTTTTCTTACGAGATGAGTTTTTCCTCACACAAATAAGAGAAAGAGGAGGAAAAGTCTGCCTATTCTGCTTTATGTCTTCTGGCGCTATATATGCACATGCCCGTCTGTCCACCAGTCTCACTATCAAGGCACAGCCTGGCTGCAGGACTGTCAATTTTTTTGCAGAAATATTCCCATGTGATAAGCTTGCACAGGCAGCAGGGTGGTCTGATCTCACCTGAAGTTCACAGCACAGCAGCCATATACTGTTTATATGAAATAACAGTAAGATTATAGCAAAGATGAGAGCCGGTTTTCCCTTGACTATTAATTGAGCAAGCCAGGTGTTTTAATCCCAGTCCCAATGTATTTCTAAGTAGAACATATTGCTTGTCAGCTACTAAATACTTTAATGGTGTACTCTCATACCTCAATAGCAGCCAGTCCAAAGGCGATCCCCATAATTATGACCAGATGGTCTTTAAGGTATTTGATAATCACTTCTCCACAAGGCTGAAAATAAGACAAAATGATTAATTACAGATAAGCAATATTATCCTAATATTATCCCAATACTAGGAGTGCATCTGCTAAAATAACTCTCCCATGCTTTCTCTCTTTAACTCTGTGTTAAAGAAAGGTTATTTGAATTTACTTTGGCTTGTTGCTAATGAACACAAAATCACAGCTATGTGTACCTGTCATGGTTTGAGATGGTCCCCCCGGGAATTGGGGGCTCTGAGGTGATCGGGTGCCAGGGCAGTGTTCCCTGGAGAGCCAATCACCACTTGTCTTGTTCGCTTCTGCTAAAAATCATACATACACAGCCACCGGAAGCTGCCGGCAGGTTTTTTTCTGTTGGTGTCTGCTGCGTGTAGGTGTAGAAGGCCAGGGGGTGGCTAGGCTCCTTCTTCCCCCTCCGGGGGGGAGGGGAGCCCTGCGGCCCCCCCAACTCTACCTAGGCCAGAGTTAGAAACAACATTTAGAGTGAGTGTTTATGAGGGATGCGACTCACAGCACCTGAGGTAAGAGGAGAGAGGCAGGCCTTGCAGCCCTCTTCCCCCCCCTTTCTACAGTTAAGCTGTGGAGGGGGGCCTTTTCTTTTCCTCCACTGTAAAGTGGAGGAGAGGCTCAGCTTTTGAAGCAGAGCCAAGTGGACGGGCTGATAATGAAGCAACTTGGCGCTAGGGAGAAGAATCCCAGGCGAAATTGGAGACGGGCCAAAAGAGCTCGGGAGTTGCCCTGCCGAAGCTGACCGAGGGCAGCCAAAAACTGATTTGGAGGAATGAAGATTCCAAACGCCTTCTGTGATAAGCTACACTACAGCAACAGCGAACCGAGGTATGAGACTGAGAGAGAGAGAATGACACAGCAGAGACTGACATGGGACCGAGGAGAAAGGACTCAAAGCTACCTTCTTGGACTTCGTGAGGAGAAAGGACTTCAGCAACCAGCTGGAGGTTGGTGAGGGAGTGTTTCAGGTTCCTGAACACTCCCATGAGAGAGAGACTGCGTTACATATCAGCCTTGAAAGGCTTCTCCTGGACTAAAGTTAAAGGGAGGGGCTTAAAGGACTGATAGAAGTGTAATACTACATATATATATTTGCCTTTAGTTTGTACAGTATTTATTTGTGTAAGTAAATGTATATACTTCCCCTTCCCCCTATAGAAGCCTCTGGCCTGAAAGTTTCTCTCCAGTGTTGGGATAAGTTGTGGGAAGGGGTGGGGGGAAGCCTGGAAATTGGATTCTGGATTTCTGATGTGGCTCAAACTGCCACAGTACCTTATGCTCTGAGAAAGATATCTAGTCATTGCCTTCCCAAATACAAAGATAAATTTAGTAGCCAACCATAAAAAGGTAAAGTTTCAAACAAAGACATACAGCTGTAATGCCTAATGTTTGCATGATTTTCGGTTAACAAGGAAAGAAGTGTTTGTTCTTACTTTCACTTCATAATCATTCACTGCTAGGGAAGAGCCAATGCAGCCATGCCAGATCTGAAAGAGAACTTCAGTTTCCCACCAATCTGATCTTTGGATTTGAAACTTGAAGGCTTATTATTAGAGTTTGGCTCAACTAAAAATATTTGGTTATAAAAACTGGCTTAAAAATTAATGTTGTCAAATGTTTGGTGGTCTTGGGCTGAGGGTGGAAGGAAGAGAGTGATCATAACTTAAGTTCTATGCAGAACTACTCTCCTTTTGAATATATGCATACATTTGTTGTTACAATAACTCCATTTTCTCCAGGCATTGACAATACTTCTGCACACTGTAGCAAAACCCAAGTACAGCTTAAATTCATCAAAATTACATTACTGCTACAACACTACAACTGCCTTCCCCTTGAATATAGTTACCTTCTTTCACTTTATTTCCTCCCTCACAATAGAAGGAGAATACTAATGTCTTTTAGTTCATCTGAAAAGCACTCTCATTTAAGCTGACTCAGAACTGCACTGATCTTCAAATCTTTTTTTTCCCAGATCACAAGAGTTGGATGTCTCTACTAGCATCTCACACAACTATAAAATCTTTGAGTTCACGTGAGCAACATCTTGCACCTGCTGAATTTCATGGATGGCTTCTCGTGTGTCCTTTGAGGGTTTGCCCAAGGCCAAAATGTGGCCAAAACAGCCTCTCTGTATATATCTTGTTTCTAGATTGGGTTCTGGCATCCTCTACTTAACCAGACTGTTCCTTTGCTTTAAAAGAGTGTTTCCTTCTGTGGGACTACACAGGGAGGAAATTACTGTTTGGGCAGAACTTGACTAGAGAGCTGTGCATTTACAGAAGTGTACAACCAGAATGGACATCAGCTAATATCTGCTTTATGGTAGGTGCACACTGGCAAACTTTGCACCACTAGCATCCTAAAAATTAAATTATTCTGTGGACTTTTTTTTCTTTTTTTTTTTTTTTTTACATATGCATAGAGCCCGAATTTCCTTGTAAGGAGACAGGTAAACCTTGAAATTAACTAGTTGAGATCTTTACTGTCCACCTACCAATTTTTTAGTATTCTTTCTTGTTGCCTGTCATCAGATATTTATGTCTTATTAATTGTTACAAAGTTTTCAAAAGGCTATAGTTGTAGGAAATCACATTTTAAGTATGTTGTCATGAAGCCTATAACATGTAAGGTTTCTTCCCAGCAGATCCTGCTAAATGAATGTGGGGGGTTTTATTAAAGGATTATAGAACTCCAAAGGTCTTGCATTTAATGTGCTCATTTTTCAATATCCCTTAGCAAGTTGAAAGTCTCTGAGTCAACATATCTACTACCAGAATGAGCCTAGGTGGGAACATAACCTTCTGAGGTAGGAATGAGAGCCAAAAGGTAGCTGACATGCTACTCTGACCCAGAGGTACATCCTGGCCTCACAGCCACAATATTTTTTCACCAATAGTAACCATTGCAGACTGCTGAGGCATCCCAGGAAGAGGGAGGAGGAGAGTATTTCATGTATTCACGGTAATTTTTTGACAAATGGCACAGAGGCATCTGGGTAAAGAAAAGAAAACAAAACTTTGCTTTTTTGGAAAGATACAGAACTGCTGACTATGCCAGTCACCAAAGACAACCTTGGGTTAAAACTTGGTTTTGTGGAAAGAAGATGGAACATTACATTTTTCTTACCGTTTTATAGACGTATCTGCCTTGAAAGTTGAAGCAGAGGTCTTGCACTGACTTCTCTACTTCACACTGACAGATTTGATAGCTACCAGAAGGATTTTTAAAATTGTTTCCCCAGTCTTCAGGTCCATTCAGCAATCCACAGCATTGATACTGCCGGAAAGGAGGAAATGGGGAGATGAGGAAAAAAGTAGTGATATTCAGTTTGAGGAGAGTAGGTGAGTGAGCTGAGAGGAACAATGAAGGACAAATTTTCTTTTATCTTTTACCATGTGGAAATTGGCCCAAATTAGTATGTCGCAAACACCCTGTACATTTAGTGTGACTCTTGGGGATGGTCCTCTGCAAGGCTAAGGGTTGGGCTCGATGATCCTTGTGGGTCCCTTCTAACTCTGCGTGTTCTGTGATTCTGTGATTTCCATACCAGTCAAAAAAAAAGAAAAGAAATAGGGGAAAAAGACCTGGTTTTCATGATAAAGTGCTCAAAAAACATTAACATACTATAAAGCCAGTAATTGTCAATGCTAGAATGGAATTGGAACATAGAACAACACTGGGTATACTATTTTTTGAGAATCAAGTCTTCTTTTTGTAGTTTATACTTGCAGAACGTAAGTAACAGCTCCAGTAACATCCACATTTCACATCTTGAAAAACCAGGCTGGAAACATAAAATTCAGACACATAAAACTCTAAAATCTAGAAAAACAATAGTGATCTTTGAACGATCATTATCCCTTTAAATTAGAAATGATCTGAGGAGACCAGGGCTCCATTTGGGGTTTGTGAAACCTAAACCAGGTGCAGTTTCATGTTCCACTTTATTCAAGTCACTAAAGCTCGGGGGTGCAGACCTGGGTTTGAGGTCCCCCCTTTTTTAAAAAGCAGCTGGAAATGTTCACATAATTTTGTATAAAAGCAAAGGCTGCGGGACACAATAAACCAGTCCTGGTCTATTTAAAAATTAATACAGTCATTATGGTATTTTTTATTTTGCTCACCCTTCAATCATCTCTCCAAGGAGTTCCCTATTATATCAGAAGAAATAAGCTGTGTCAGAAGCAGAGGACAGGACTGTGGGTGGAATGAGGAAGAAGAAGTGGAAGTAACATAAGACACCTAAATATTGTTTCTTTCTTCTTTTTCTTTCGTGCAGCAGTATTTAAAAACATAGGAATTAACTGTAAGTCTATTCATCAAAGTCATCACCCATTAGGAACTAAAAAAATAAATCAAACAGCAAACATTCTGTCAATGTACAGTGTGAAGGAGCAAGATTCAGGATGGGAGAGGTTCCAGGCGTGGAGAAAGACATACAGCAATTGACAGGACTTTATTATATGGACTTTACTGTTATTATGTGGTTTCATTGTATTCACATTACACAGTGCACAGCCTGGACATGCCCGGGCTCGCCACGAGTTTGCCTGCTCCCTGCTTCCCCGCTCCCTTCTCTGATAGGCTGAAGAAGCTGCAGAGAGGAGACAGCTACTATTTGCCCCTTCCACGTTCCTCCCCCTTTTGCCTGTGCCCCTATCCCGATTTGTTCCCCCGTTTGTCTGTCTCATGCTCCACCCCATGTTCTGGCCCTTTCCCCGCCTGAACTGATAAAAAATCTGGTGCACGGCTCAATAAAGCATTCTACTTGCACCCTACCTTGTCTCCCGAAACCATCTGTGCTGTGTCACGGCCCCATCCCGCCTCGGACCGTGGCAGTACAGATCCTTGTACTAGTGGAAGGGGAAAGGGTTTACGCTGTCGGTGATATTAGTGAGATTCAAGGGTATTCTCTGTGTGATGCCTAGGAACAAGCTAGCACTAACTGTCCATCTGCTGGAGTCTTGAAGCTGGGGGAAGCCAGGAAAAGTATAAGTACAATAAAAACAAATCTCTCATCGTATTTTCTTCCCCCTTCTCAGACAGTAAGGTGTGTCATTTAATGACAATAGGATATTCCAAAATTAACTACACTCCTGAAGTTTTCCTCATCCCTGGAGTAGTCTTTCCTCAAGAGTACTGGATAGTTCTTATTTGACATGGTGAAAGATCAATATTCCTTCAGAAGGGAAAGCTATAATGAAGGAGCAGGCAGCCTTCTCATGAAAGAGTTTAGCTAACTGTCAGTCTCACTTGCATGTTGTGTGTCCTTACTTCATTGCTCTTATAAACACTATTGTACAAAGAAATCATTACAGAAAGACCATGTCATATCAAGAGAACAGAAGCATCTTCTGTAGTGTTTTAACTTGCCTTTAAGTCAGACCTTTCCCCATTTCCAGGAAATGCAATTCAAATCTACAGCAGAGTAGTCATAAAATGAAGCAGAGATGGAACGGACAGCAACAACCCCTGCCCTTTATTGCTTTTTAATTACCTTTCTCTCAATTTTTTGGAACTTCTCCTGAAACACTTTAGAATCTTGTGAGGAGCTTTGCAGTGCATCCACACTAGCCATTAGAGTCAGGTTAACGGATGCCTCAACCTGCAGGTTAAAATATATTATTATTTTTGGGGTACAAATAAAACTCTGTGAAGACATCAATGAAAATATAGAATAATTCTGTACCTGAGATCTGTACACTGCTCCTAAAATACCTCCTGTGACCTGAAGAAGCAGGATAAGAAGCAGTCCAATAAAAAACTAGGAAAAAAAAACAAAAAGGGGAGGAAACTATAGTACTTTCAACCAAGATGACATAATTTCTTCTAAATTACCGTTAATCTTTCATGTGCTTGAAAAACCATGTAGGTAGAATGCAATTCCAGTCAGAGCTGCTCCAGTTATTTCTTCTTTGGTGATAAGAAAATGAGGTGCTTGAGACAGAGTGTGCGCAGCTGGTGATCATAACAAGGTGCACACCAGAGCGGTGCCAAGATGGGCAATGTGTATGTGAAAGTTGTTGGGCAGGAGGACACAGAGGACATTCTAGGTGGACCAGCAAAGGGAGCAACTGGGAATTTTTGAAATTAAATGGGATAGGTAGTGGGGGAGGATTAATGGAGGGAACTTTGGTGATAGCTGGATGGAAAAAAAGCTCAAGTCTCTCTGGACCCTCTCATCTTGTTGATGAGTCTACCCATCATTTTTACCACACTAGAATTCAGAAGAGGCTCAAGCTCAAGGTAAGCAATGATAACACATGATCATAGAAGTGCTTTTGGTTAAACTAAAAGGCTCCCATCCTCATTTGATAACTACTTGCAAGGACTTTATCCATCAAATGTAGCTGTGGCCTGTTAAAGGTAGACAAATGTTTTTCTTTCCTACCAAAAGCAGCATGCACCGGCTCTCCTTTACAGCACCACAGCACCCCAGAAACCCAAGGATCATAATGATGGAGCCCACGGCAATCAGCAGATCAACCGCTGCGAATGCGCTGCTGTTTATCTCCAGCTCCTGAAATGAGAGGAAAAAAGTCTTTCAACTACAAGAAGGTCCTCCTAAAAATATCTATATCCCCCAAAACAAGATAATCACTTCATAACTGATAAGTGAACAGTCTGGCAACCACAGAGAAATTCATAAATAAACAAAGGTCTAATGCTACCTTCTTAAATGTTTTAGTGGGGAGCTCAGTAGAACCTGGCTTTTCACAATCTTTGTTTCTACACAAGATGAAAGTCAACTTACCGAGTAAATAAAAATGTCTTGTCTTTAAAGTGGTTTTCGGTTGGCTTTCAGTTGATGAATCTTTGCTTTTTAGTGGAAGTAGCAAACTTGATTATCTCAAAACCTCTGTTTGTCATTAGAAGGCCAGGAACATAGTCTGTGGCTGTTCCTGAGAGAACACTTCTCAGAGCAGTGCTGGATATATTACAGAAATAGATGTATTTTCCAAAGGAGCTTTCTTTTTCCTTTTTTTTTCCTCAGGCATGATCTCTAATATTACCCTCAGAGATGAGGACTCTATTTTGATGTGTGGGATGTTCACTAAACAATTCATATACCTCAATATTATAAAATATCAAATTATTCAGTTCCCACAGGACTGGCTAAGGTCAAAGGCCAAAATAGAGGAAAACATTCAAAGAATGTTTTCCAGTGTGACTGGTGCCAAGATTAGCAAAAATGTCTGGAAATTGTCACATTTGTCTTCTGATAATTGCAAAGGTATATCGACAAGTATAATTTGAAGAATGTGTTGTTCTTTCCCCTTCCAAGTTATTTATTCTTAGAAAGCTCTATTCATCTACAGCCAAATACTTATGCTCTGCTCAATTATTACTCAGGAGAAATATACATTGGTTTTGAATGGGAACTTTGCCTGCCTGGAAGCAAAATAGTGAGAAAATTCTTTCAATTTTGGTCCCTACTTTTAATTCACAGATTTTTGGGGAATACTAAGTGGCACTTCAGGAAAGTAGTTTGTCACACATTTAAGTATGTTTTTCTGAATAGGAGATCTCTCAAAAAATAAGAAATTATAATAGTGGTTGTGGTTTTCCAAGCTCCATTGTACCATCTGAGCCATCATTCTAGAGACTGTCAACTAGCAAGTATGGCAATTTTAGCTTCTAGCAAAATACTGATTGAGGAGTGAAAGTTGTTATTCTTCCTCCTCCACAGGACAGA